TTTGGTAATATGCAAAAAAACGTTCTCTAGCAAAAGGCAAAATTAATTCACCAATAGAAAATGAATGTTCATCATCATCATTTCATAAAACAGGTATCTAACAAGGGCTTACAGTATTTACATAGACTAAACTAGAATGAGGGTTTCACAACACAAAGCAGGCCCAGTTTTGCAAAAACCAAATAACAAACACTCTGAACAAAAGCAACTGACATAAACGAAGTGGAAATTTCAGAGAGGACAAATATCACAACAGGTAAATTTTAACTGGGGATCACAATGTAAAAAGTACTACTAATAAGACAACAATATAATATACTTGACAATAACTGCATAAAAATTTGCACACACTTAAGATTGCTAAGTTAATGATAGAAACATAGGTTTATGATTAAATGAAGTGAAAATAAATCCCATTTTCTAAGCTGTTAGTGTGTAAAACATTGCTTGGTTTGAAAATAGCAGTGGAGGTTATAAACAATTTAAAAATGTATATGCAAAAATTACTTTAGACACCTTAAAGCTGTTATGTTGTTGTCTTTAAACGTTATATTTTATCAAATAAGATATTAGATTTGAAATTTTGCAAAAAAGATTATTAACATATTTTGATAATAATTTGTTACAACTTGTAAAACAAAACATTTATAATTTTATTTTCATTACACTTAATCTTATGGTGCAAGTAATTGTCCTACATTACATTCTCATAATAGCTTTTTTTAGCACCGATTGACAAAATATGCTATAATTGAGCACATAATGACTAAAATCCAATTACGGCAGAGCTACATAATGTCAAGTGCTTGACTACTGCGGACTAATTATTGCTTGTAATTCTACATGCTAGTAACATACAGCAAAAGTGGTGCCTCCATATGACTCTCTAAAAAAATTACCTAAATAAAAGAGTGCTTACAAAAAATCTTTCAAAGTTTGAGAACTTACAAATACTGATTAACAACTTTAATTTTGGGAAAAATAAAAAAGTTCTCCTATAATAGATAGGTTTAAGTTCCCTGTTAAAATAGAGAACTGATTTTATTATACATACATAGTAGTATAACATGATTTAATTTCATTTTAATTTCAATCAATGATGTTTATAGAAAAAAGCAGAAAATAACAAAAATTTTCCTGAGGGACTTTGAACCTTCTGAGTAATAGAATTGGGTAGTAAGCCATACAACATGTTTACAGAACATAACTGATGTAATTAAAAAATAATAGTCCAATGTAATAAGCTGCATGTATATCATGCAATAGAGAATATCTTTCATTTGATATTTGGTTTTTCTTAAATTACAGTTCTTGAGAGAAAAAAAAAGCAATCAGAAGAATACAGAGGGTTGAGTATGTTATATTAAAACAATCTTGAATATATAATTAACAAGTCACATAAAAATCACAGCTGATATAAAGTTGTGGCATATGTTTCACATTTTGTAGGTAGTGTGATACCACCAAAAATTTATAACTTTTGGGAAGGGTGTGTAATAGCCTTTTCTTATGGAACATATTCATACACTGAGATCATAAAAACATATTCAAATTGGAAATTTGAAAATTTCAAGTTGGGGTATCCTTTGTATTTAATGGCATTGGAAAAAAAAGGAATATGGATCAATTTGAGGCATGAAAACCATTCAGGAAGAGACCTGCAAAAAGTCATATCCCAGCCATGGTAAACAAAGTTCATGAGAATCCACAAACATGAAAATCAGTTGTAAAAACCATCCACAGGAAACAGTAGTAAACATAATCTAGAATGATCTCCTTCTGGAAAAGCGATATAAGTTGCTTCCACGACTGATACATTCAACCATAACACACCTCAAGCAGCTGGAGCATGAAATGGTTATTCTTGCTATCCCATACAAATACATACTGATTAATCCACCAAACACAGCTCCTACTGACTCCTTTGAGTCGAGACTGTTAAAACATGGCTTATGGAAAACAAACCGGGAGGGGATGTGCTTTAGACATGACAGTCTTACAACAAAGCCTTTTGGAATGGAAACTATGGTGCAGGGCTGTTGTCAAGATGCACAGTTGTCAGATAGAATATTAACAGATGTGGAAACATGGTGAGGCTCCAAAATCATTTTATTATAATTTACTCAACCTCTTCAACTCCATTCATCTACAATATGAATTAAACTTCTGTTAAAGGTTCCCTTGGTCAAATGAAGTAAGAACAAAGTAGTATGATTATACTACAACTCTGTGACTATATTTACTTTAGTTTTCATTTAACAGAATCACATTGCTCCTATAATCAAGTTTCAGACATATAACAGAATTATCTTAGAAAACATGGAAGGTTTAAACTTGGAAGCAAAGGTCTGGAATAAGTATAAATATATACCTGTTACAGAGCCCAAACGAATCAATTTAATCACTGGTTGAATCATGAAAGAAGTTTGAGTCTTAAACTATAATGATATAAACAACAATATACAATTGAGAAAGAATTAACATTTAAAAGATAAATATCACTAGATTTACCAACTAAATTGTTTGATTTACCTATTACTTTTCAATGAATGATATATATATATATTCATCATCAGAAAAAAATGATTTTAATAACATTAAATAAAGCATCAAATAGCTAGAATTACTCCTGTAAAGCAGTTCTACATAGAACAAAGTTAATATATGCTACTAAAAATTGCACAAACAAATACACTAAGTAAAATATCTTCATAATGATAAAATTGTTTAAGCAAAATTCATCTACTTACTAAACTTCCTGTCCTTGTTTATGCACACACATAAGTTATTGCTAAACTATTAGTATAAAAAGCAGTATTGTATAAAATATGATATACTTTCTACAATAAAAATAGACTTGCAACTTGCCTGTACAGGAATTCACATACATCTTTCTATAGAATGAATCTATTTTTTTAAAGTACCAAACAATATATTTTACTCTATATGATGTAAAATACACTCATAACCACACAGCACAAAACACAGTCATAACAGCCTGATACCACCTAATACTAATACCTTACACATCATACAATAACAGCATCATAATGTATCTAATTTCACCTTCAATTTACCTGGGATATAAAAACACAACTACTTAAAGGATCCACTTCATCTTACAAAAGATAAAACTACATTAATAACCTCATAACTAAATTGAAGTTCAAACATGAAAATCATATAACTAAGAACCTGTTAAGCAATATAAAAATCCACGTTTATAGCATTTTGTGTCATCTTGAATTAAACATTAATATATTATTGTTATACTACTACTGTTATACATGTTTTCGCATGAGTTCTGAAATAATTTAGAGCCAGAATACCAAATCTTACATAAACATTGCACTCGTGCAAAAATGGTCAAGAACAATGAACTTATATGAAGCATGCTTACACAAAAGAGAAACACAATGTTTTTAGCAATGAGAGAAATAATGAGTCTCTCTTTCCAAATATAATGTCTGTCTGTTGATCACTGGTGTTTTAGTAATAGCTTTTATGTGTAAACCTACATAAACAAACAATTGATCACTGGTGTTTTAGTAATAGCCTTTATATATAAACCTACATAAATGAACAACTGATCACTGGTGTTTTAATTATAGCCATTATATGTAAACCTACATAAACGAACAATTGATCACTGGTGTTTTAGTGATAGTCTTTATATGTAAACCTACATAAACAAACAATTGATCACCGGTGTTTTAGTAATAGCCTTTATATGTAAACCTACATAAACGAACAATTGATCACTGGTGTTTTAGTAATAACCTTTATATGTAAACCTACATAAATGAACAATTGATCACTGGTGTTTTAGTAATAGCCATTATATGTAAACCTACATAAACAAACCAAGAAAGTATTTATCAGCAATTTTCTCTGCACATCATATTAAATATGCAAGATATTTTATCATTCATTAGATGATTTTTTTTTTTTATAAACAAAATGGTACCCCCTACAACATAATCTGATCAACCTGTAATAGTGAGTATCCCATTATGTTATAAAGCTTGCTTTTCTTGAGAAAAAGCATTAAAGAACACTTGCACCAAGTTTTTAGTGTCTCTGACTAGTAACTGTGGCCAGAACTGAATTGACTAACATTAACATTGATATATTGACAATGTAGTTAGAATATTGTGTAAGCAACTATAAATACAACTTGTGAATTAGTTAAGCCTTTAAAACCAAAGCAACAAGTAACAGCTCCTATCGAGATTGATTACAGATGTAGTAGTTTAAGTTGTCAAACATTGGTTTACTAGCAAGTGTAGTAGGCTTGATAGGTCCTGGGTTCAAGTCCATGAGAGTATACATATGTTATGAAAACATTAATTACCACATTGGCATCCAATGTGGGGCCATCCCGAGACTCTGAAATTAGGCCAATGGATGGGCTTGTTTGAGGGAAGAATGTAGTAGTTTGAGTTGTTACAAAGTAACTTACTAGTAAGCACTAGTGGGTTAACTTTTTAGCTGACATGTGACATGTCTCAAGTTCAAATCCAAGGCAAGGAAATATATTGCATATTTAAGAAAATGAATTACTGACATACACATACTGAACCACTTATAATGCAACAATTTTCTATTGACATGCTATAATGAGTAGTTCTTGTCTAATTATTGCATATTTAAAAAAGAAGGCTGAGGGCAAGTTTGCAATGAGGAATGAATAAGCTGGGAAGTACAAGGGGAAGAAGTAACTGGTGGGACTAAGAAATGGCCCGTAATTAACTGTTGCCTAGCTAGTAACCCACTGAGAGCAGGATGACCTGTAAATTCCATGTGGGCTGCTAGAGAAGTTGGGTGCAAATGATTATTGTGAGTTGAATTTATAGAATTTGGGGGACTGCACACAATAGAAGAAGGTGTAGTAGTATTCACAGAAGGCAAAGAGAGGTGAGAAACATGGCTTTTTTCAACATCTGAGATAGCCTGCTTATGTTCATATTGAGCATGGGACTCGCAGTGTGTTTTCTTACTTGGAGTCCCTGAAGCATTTGGGTCCTTATGGGTAATTCGCATGTGCTCCATCAGGGCCTCTCCATTCATGCAGATCTTGTGACAAACAGGGCAAGACTGTGAAGTAGATCCTCCAAGTAAGGATGCATGTTGCTGAAAAAAGAAACATGAATTCCATACAAATATTCAACACTCACTAAAACGCATTTACATGCAAGTTAATTACAGAAATAATGGGACAAAAAAATATTTATGAAAAATAATAATCAGTGCAGATAAGCTTCCATGTTGCTAAAATGGACATTTCACTATCAAATTTTAAACACAAAATTTACAAAAAAACAAAACAAAAAAAAACATGTCCATATTTATTTACAAAATCAATGGTTGAAATAGAATTGATTTTTTTACTCATTAATTCAGCAACTGCCAAGTTAAACCTACTCCAATAAAAAAGCATGTGCCTGCTTTTGTGCATAGATAAGTGTTAAAGTTAAAACTAAATGCAGTTTAATTAACACCATTTTTCAAATCTCGTACCCCTGTCACTCTATTAAGAGAGATTGAAAATGGAATGATGAAGAAGCATGCATGTGTACTTAATCCATTTTTGGTTGCTAAATATACTTTCTTGTCCCAAACAATCAAACTTTAGTGTAGCATGTACACTTAAAATAGCAAATGACTTCAAAACTTAGTATTGAAGTAATTATGTAAAATTTCCTATTCACTTTCGATAACTTTTTCTTCCACACAGTAAGTAGCAAATGTTCATTTGAATCCCTGAAATTTATACATCAGTCTTTTACATTGTTTAAATAACAATTGAATTTTTTCATCTAATTAATTTTGATACAAATCAATATAGTTTTTTTAAATACTTCATTTTTTTAACAAACCTACTGTTTCTTTGTACTTTGGATCACTATGAATGGTAAATTTGATTTAGCTCAAACTGTAGTAAGTTTGAAATGTTTCTGAGCTCAATAAATCAAAATAATATAAAACAATAATATCTGTACTAATCAATTTCTAAACATTCACATCAAAATACATCAAGTACATAAAATACATGTCCACATATGGATGGACCTTAAATCAAAATGTTATTGAAAGTCATTCAAACTACAACTTATTTTTTATTTAACTGAATTTTCATACAATTCATTATGTCAAAATTAACATGAATCATATTCATTTATTTCTCCATCACACATAACACTTGCAACAAAATTCATTCTTAAACTCTATAAAGAAAAAACAAAAAGATTTGTAAACAAACACTTTCAGAAAGTACTTTAACAATGTTATCAAGTAAAAACTGTAACTTAAGTTGCAATTCAATAAAAATAGTTTCTTTTAGAAACTACTGATTTACACAAACAAATCAGTACATAAGAAAGAAAGTTATCACACAAACATAGCTACAAATTTTTAAAACACCACCACTGAAATGACTGAGGAGCTATTCATGGTGAACAAGAAAGCTACATTATTGTACACTTTTTGTTACAGCTTAATGAGTTTAAAATGTTAGCTTGAAGCTTAAGAAATATAAGTTTCAATGCGATAAAACCATGATTTAATAACAAACATTTATGCTCGGTAAAACTAAATATTAAGTCTAGAGAAAAAAAAACATTACAAGCATAAGAATTAGACAGAAGAATATTAATGAGCATCAACTGTTGAAAAGCACATGTACTACCAAGGTTCACCTCTGATACAGAATGATAGATTATGCTCAAGAATGACAGTTCCATGCTCTCTCTCTCTATCTGTAAACCATATGTGTTGAAAAACTGAGATTTTCATTTACATCTACGAACTTATGGAGAAAAGAGCAAAAAAAAACAGGTCTTAAGAAACCATGAACTAAGGAGCAGCACTTTAAGTATTGTAGGAATGTTCTATCCTTTTTATTGGAGTGTAATAAGTAATCCTTTGTGAGAAGTGTTAACTGTATATCACAAAGCTTGAGCATACATGTATGCTTTCAAGCTTTTTGAATTTTTTCTCTTAACACCAAGTAATCATATTTTAAATAACAAAAATATGATTAGTCTTTGCAACTGAAATTATTCAAATTATGTGTGGGTATATATAGGTTATATCCATATTTATTTGTTTTAAATGATAATAAATCTACTTTTCTTTTAATTTAATAAAGTTAAAATGGTAATGTGGTGAGAAAATTGCCAAATTTAATCTAAGTACCAATACTTTTTTTTCAAAAAAATTGTCATATGTTGAAAATATTCAGGGCAGAGTTCAAGGAGTCTTACAGAAGACTTAAATTTAACATTAACTTCTACAAACCAACACCCCAAGTTTAACAAAATACAGTTTGAAGTGACTTTTGCAAAAACTTATATCCATAACTTTAAAGATGAAAAGAAGATAACAAAAACAATATAAATAAACACTGTGTTAACTTAATATGATCAGATGTCCTGATTTTGGAGGGACAGTCCCGGTTTTGAGCTGCCTGTCCCGCTGTACCCCAGAAACATCAGGGGATGTGAAAATGTCCCATTTTGGGAGATAATGAACTTAAATGTCCCACATTATTAAAATTAATACCAGTATCCACCACCGTACTATGACTGCACGTAAAATTTGTCCTGTCCTCATATAATATCCTTTATTTTCATATATTAATGTCCAAATATATAGATAATCATATATTTATTGGAAATGTCATAATATGAAATTAGCTTGTTTACTGTATCATAAAACGCCATTAGTTGTTAGTCACTGACCTTTATACTACGAAATCGTTGAAATGTCGTACATTAGCATTCAGTACATAGTAATATTGTTATAACTGACAAAACAATATGAAATTAGTTTGCTTTATTTTGGGATATGCAGTGAACGTCTAAAATATCTTTGACAATTTATTTTCAATTCTGTTATTTTTTTAATTTTTGCAGCTTAAATCGGTCTATATATAGTTGTGACTGTAACATTTCACTTACCAACACATTATCATTATATTAACATCTTAAACAAAATTTTATATTTTTTCAGACAATTTTATTAAATAATTCTCATGTCTAGGTTAATTATAACTGCAGAAAATATGATCATTTATTGTATACAACTGACAACATTATTAATTTTTTCTACTGCAGCTTGGCAAAACAAATCTTCGGTTGTTTACGAAAATATCCTCAAATTAGAATTGTAATGATTAGATAGTATGTATTTTTCATGAATGTCATTGATTTCTACCGAATATTTCCAAAATACACTACTGATTTGTTATAGAAATTAATATCTAATGAAGAGTATAATAATAGGATGGTAAGCATTTTTTATGAAAAGAAGTTTTAATTTTTTTAATGCAACCAATTTTTTATTCATCAGTTATGTGTCCCATTTTGGACTCCAGAAAATCTGGTCACTTTATGTTAGCTTTACTGTTTGTTTTCTACATATATATATATATAAAATAAATGAAAACTATAAACAGAATATAATTTTATGCCACTTAAGGTATATACATTGCTGAATAAATAATTCATGCACTTTTAATTTTTTCAGTACGTTTTACACTTATGCATGGTTTCTTCAGGTTGCTACCAAGTCCACAATATATAATTAACAGTGAGTGGTAGATGTGGGTTTAGACACAGGAAAGCAAAAGGCAAAAAAAAAATTGAACTCTTTCATTTTATACTACTTAATTAAGTCCTGTTGACTTACATCATGTGTTAGAAAGTTATTGTTAAATTTCTATTATTTTTCAGTTAAAGAGTTTAAATCCTCAAACTCCACTATTAAACTTGTAAATAACTAAAGTGTTTAATCATGTCTAAACTCTAAATAAATGGTGAAATATAGCTATACAGAGTTGTACCTACTTTTGATCGATGGGTTCTTAAGCTGCTTTCTGAAGCAAAACCCTTACCACAGATGTTGCAACTAAATGGTCTGTTTTTTGATCGCTCCATTTGGTTGTCATGATTTCTCAAATGTTGCTGTAAGTTGGACAATTGAATAAATGCACGTCCACAGTCATGGACGTGACATTTGTAAGGTCGTTCTCCTACAAAATTAGGTAAAGTACAAAAGCATAACTGTCTTTCAGAAATTATTTTGACAAAAGCTACAAAAAAACATTACGTACACACCTGTCATTAAGTGAAAAAAATATATATATAAGATAAATTTATCAACACAAAAAAACTGAACAACCTGTAATATAAAAGAACATCTTCACATTTTAATGAAAAATTTTAAACACAATTCCTACAGTTTATACTAGTTTTTAATTTTTCAAAGTTTCTCAGAAATCACCAGTAGCTCATCCAAAATACCTCAATAGATTAAGACAAGTAATAAAATTGTCAAACATACAAGCATGAAACACATAATTTTAAAACACTCCATATAAACTTGATCTACTTTGTTAAACCATATTTTAATACATCTCTTGCAAAGTTAGTCATCAACACAAACTGATATGCTTAGAGCTTTCAAGTAGATTCTATGAAACTGAAAAAGAACCACAGCTTTGAGAAATAAAACTCAATGGTCTTTTTAACAAAAATGATTTTACATTTACTGAAAGTTACACAATACTCTGGTAGAGACATTTCTATTCACATAATTATCTGTCTTTATATCTTTATATATGTCTTTAAATTAAGGTGCCATAAAGTTATTCAAGAATACTATTACTGATTTGTTAACCCGCCAAAGCTCTTAACACGGATTTCATACAAGATAATTGTGAATATCAGGTTGCCTTCTCCTTTGTCATGAAATAGAACATAACAAAAACACCATATGGGCACCATTTAAAGAAAATTTGTAATGGAAATAAATATTTCTATAAGTGTCATTTCTCTCAAGAGGAGGAAAAGTGTAAAATAAAAGAATACACAATAAATTTAAAAATTCAAATATTAACCATGCTTAGTATATGTTCAGATATAACTCCACACATCTTGAAACATATCAGTCACTTTAATCAAATATTTAAGGATATTACATACTTGAAGTGTGAGATAATTTAAGATTTGTTTATTTTAATCAAGTATTGACATAATGCATCTGCACCATGAATTTCTTTTTATTAAATTCATGAAAATCATTTAACTACTTATTCACACCAAATTATTGCAAAGTTAATTATATATATATATTTATATCTATACACACGAAAATCTAAGGCATGTGACAGATTATCTCCACTACTCTATATGTTTTTCTATATATGTAAACATTTGATAATCTTTTTAATTATGTAGTTTATTTCTGCAATTCAAAGACGTTACAAAAAATTTGAAACTCATAATTATGAAGGAAAAGTCTCAAACAACATGTATGATAACCAATTCAACTGAACATAAAAAATACAGCACTATTTAGTTTCAACTACATGTATACCCAGTAACCTTACTGTTTACCAGTGTAATTAAATGCATGAAAAATTAAAATAACCACAATGCCTTCTGAGAACTAATATGTTAATCAACGCACTCAATATACTTTTGAATTTTAATACACAGTTGTTCAGCACAATGTCACTGCAATTTCCAAATGTTTTCTTGTAGTACATTTAGAAAGATGTAGTATAGTTCTCTATTAGAAATATTTGTATTTCATTGTATGTTACAAATTTGGGCAAGATACATTACCATTGTCATTGGCAAATATATTTATATTTACTACATCAGAATTTTTCTTAATAACAAATGTGCAAAAGCCTGAAAATTCCTTATGCAGAATGTTACGGTAAATTAAGAGAAGAAGTGTATGTGCAACATAAATGTGAGAACTAAAATACTAGTGATATGATTCAGCAGTCTTAGAATTTATCAGTATTAAAGTCAGTACTTGGTTAATTCAATTATAAGAAATTCTTTATCCTTACCTTTCAGCAACTTGTAGCATATCAGTGTGATTTTAATTAACAAGAAATGGTGAAAATGAAATTAATGCCTAAGCGAAACAATTGTTACTCTGAGATGAAATAACAACATAGAATTCAGTTAAACTTTTATCTTCAGTATGCAAGCTGCTTGTATTTTTACAAGTTTATAATAAGTTCATATTTCTCAATGAGCTTGTAAGTCATCAGTTAATTCTAAGTATATCCAGTTGAAAGCTCAGTGCACAAAAATGTAAAAACAAGAATCGCCATTTTCATATATGGTACTTGAGTGCAAAAAAATACAAAAGATATCTCATTATGGTTACATTCATGATGTCAGAAAAACATGCAAGTTCAAGAAGTTTTAATATAAAATGATAAAATCCCTATAATCCAAGCACTTTCGAAAGGTGGACCTTTTTCTTCTTCAGGGGTAAACTGAAGAAGAAAGGTCCACCTTTCAAAGGTGCTCAGGTTACAGTTTTTTTTTTTTTTATCATTTTTCATTATGGTTATACAACATCAAAATATAAAAATCATCCTGCTAAAGAAACCACCTATATTTATAGGCTGAGACCTACCCTCAAGGAGAACAGTAACATGAGGAAGCTTCTAGTAAATTTATCTACTATTCTTTCATATTTTTTTTAACTGGCAAAATTTGAAACTACATTCAAAGCTTCTGTGTATATTAGGATAAAGCACACTTGATATAAAATATGTATGTATGTTTAACAATTAAGACTTTGTCATGAACTAGACATACAGGTTCTAAACATGTAGCCCACAGTTGCAAGATACCATGGCTAACAGCTGCATCAACAGACCACTGTATCAGAATACAAAATTATTCATATACAGTACACTTAACCCTCTTTACCTGTATGAAGTCTGGTATGTTGTTGAACATGTGAAAGTTGTTTGAAACGACGGTCACAATATGAACATTTGTAAGGCTTCTCGCCCGTGTGAACTCGGAGGTGTTGGGTCAATTGATGGTTGGACGAGAAAGTCTTCAGACACTGTTGACACTGGTGGGGTTTGACATCACCACGATGGACTTCCCGGGCATGATGCTGCATGGCAGACTTGTGCAAGAATATCTGGAAAATAAAAATATAAACTGGTAAAGTTCAAGCCAACCTACATCTGAAAACAGCTCAATATATTTATATATTTTGTCTGTGTAGAAATATATATATATATACGAGTAACAGAAATAAAATCAAGATTATTGCTCTATATTTATAACAACCTGCATTTTAAAAAAGTTTAATTTCCACGTTAAATAATAATGTAAAGTTTTAAAAAAATTATTTTTCTTTATATAGAATAAAATATGATGTACCTTCTTATTCTTTTGAGCAAATGTCTCAAAGATAGTAAAAACTTAATTTATTATTAGACTGAATTTTTTTCCAATTATATCAAGCTTTCTTTAGTTGTCATTCTGAGGAAATGTTTAAAATACTTTAAATGTAGCTTGAAATATAAATACTACAGTGGACGACTTTCCTTGATAAATATATAAATACACATATAAAATGTAGCTTTTAATGTCCCCCCCCCAACTTTGCAAGTTGTTTTTCCGCTGTGATTGTTACTATTAATAGTAAAGAATTCCTGTTTTAAGCTCTCTTTCCTTTTAACTTACAGTTAACATAATTTTTGTTTAATGTTTTTATATATATGGGTGAAATGTCAGCACGCTACAGTATAAGGTCATCTAGTAATTAATGTCGCTTTCTTTAGATGAAAGAATCCAAACAACTTATATATCAAAACGAAACATTTATTTAATGAAATAGTCTCCATTCTTATT